AAAAAAAAAAAAAAAAAAAAAAAAAAAAAAAAAAAAAAAAAAGAATAAATGAAAATTTACTCAATGAATCCCTTATTATAGGACATTTAGGTTATTTCCGTTTTTTCCACAATACAAACAATTTTAGCTAAATATTTGCACACATCAATAATTTTTGGCTTAGAAATACCCTAGCATTAGGGTTTACCAATGAAACTATCATTTACGTCTTAAATGTTTTTAAAATTTTCCCCCTTTAACACTAGGGATTATTTTATTTTGAAACCTATATGAATCTACTTATCCTAGGGTGTGGTGGCACAGGTCTATAATCCCAACACTCTGGGAAGCTGAAGCAGGAGGATCTCAAATTCAAGCTCAGCTTGGGCAATTTAGCTAGACCCAGTCTCAAAATAAAAATTAGAAAAAGGGCTGGGGATTTAGCTCTGTGGTACTGCACCTGCCTGGCAAACAAAAGGTCCTGAGTTCAATTTCCCCCTACTAGATTTAAAAACAAACAAACAAAAAAAAAAAAAAAGAAAAAGGACTGGTGATATAGCTCAGTGCAAAGGCCCTGGCTTCAAGCCCCAGTGCCATACACACACAATCTGCTTATCGATTGGGGGGTGCTATATTCTAGCTAATCCTGTTTAATTACCCAAAGCTTTTTTTTTTTCTTTTCTTTTCGGTACCAGGGATCGAACTCAGGACCTTGCACTTGCCAGGCAGGTGCTATGCTGCTGAGCTAAATCCCTGGACCCAGTACCCACAATTTTTATCTTAACTGTTTTTGATGAATGCTCTTCTAAACTATATCACGCACTCCCTGTGATGCTAAGCAGAACCATCTCTAGTCTCTTAGTAATTCAGGGCAGGTCTTCTTCCCTCTGACCCAAAGTATTTACACAATTATTTTCCACTTCTCACTATCTGCTCTGGGAAGAAAGTCCTCCCAACCCAAGGACCCAAACTCTGGCTGCCTGCTGAACAGTTTCCTTACAACTGCGTTCCCAGACTCACTACACACACGCACGCGCACACACACAGGCACTCACACATGCACGCACATAGAAGTGTATGCTTCTCCCTGGTGAAGTCTTTCCAATCCTGTGGCCTCACCTGGTCCTTCACGGCCTCCTTTGTGTGTCAGGTCGTGATTTCATATTCTGGGACCAGATTGTTGTTACCAGAACCTCCCTGGAGCCCCTTTTCCTCAGACCTGCCAGAAGAGAATGCCACTGGCTGCTATAGCCCACTGACTTAGTGTCGAGGGTTCCAGCAGTGCCTACTTCCCAATCCTGGCCAGCTCTCTCTCTTCGAACACAGAGGTTAGAAAGAGAACACAGGCTTTGTTGAATGCTTGGGTTCTTACTGTACTGTGCCACTTGCTGCATAATTTAGGAACATACTTTGAGTCTGTCTGTCTGTCTCTCTCTCTCTTTAGATACCAGGGATTGAACTCCGGTCTTGCCTTTGGGAGGCAGGTGCCAGAACAACTGAGCTAAATCCCCAGCCCTCTCTTTCTCTGTTTCTTATCTATAAACTAGAGATACTCTCTGCCGTTGGTCCCACTTGTGAAGATTATGGGTGGCCATTGTTTTGACTATTTTCACTGCAGGAGGCCCCAACAGAGGAGGCTAAACCAAAATGGAGTCACTCCCACTAAGTGGCTAGGAAGTGACTGAAAATTTCAGTAAGCAGATAGATCCCAAACCAGATCACACTTTCCTAAGAACAGGAGACTCTACTCAAATCAGCACCAGGAGGTCCCTTCTGCTTTAAAAACGTAACCCGAATTATCCCGGCACTGCCCAGTCAGGTCTCGCCCTATTGTTTTATTTCCTTGTTCCCAGTGATAGAGCCCACTCTTCTGCTGTTACCCAGAGGGGCCCTCATTCGATTAGGAGAATAGAGGCCACCTAGTTCATGAACCAGAAATAAAAGCTAGTTAGATCTATAACTGAATTTATAGTAATTTCTGTCTCCGTGTAAGGCCCAGTCACAACGCCCCAAACTGCCAACC